CTCTCGAACCTCTGGAAAGAAACCCCCTGACCAATCGATGCCACAAGAAGGGATCGGTGCCCGGCAAGAAGAAAACCGCTGTAGTACCCCGAACAAGTAGCAGGCTCAAGAAGGCAGCGACTCGCTCACGGCCAAGTGTCTGGTGCGAGCTGTCGCAACTCCAGGCGCGTCGTCTGATTCTCAAGGTGGGCCTTGGTCGCGATCTCGTGCCTCGAGACCTACCCACCGCGAAAAACCCCAACAGGCTGTGTGAAACGCTGACGACGAGCATGCTCAAAGCTTCATGTGTCAAGAGGCTGGAGGTTATGAAATTCATCTCCGAGGGATCGTTCGGCCACGTCTTCCGCGCGCTGAGAAATGATGGCACCAGAGCAGTAATCAAAGTCAGATTGGTTCCGTGGAGGAAATAAAGGGCGAAGCCGTTGCTCAAAAGAATTAGGACCGTGGCCAAAACAAGGTACACCTTGGACTTTTCTGGCCAAAACAAAGGGTGTCTTACTCTATGTTCAAGTGGAAATTCCTATCGAACACCTTCTTTTGGCCAAATTTTCACAGGGTGTACCTTAGCGCGGCCACTCAACTCCCATGCTACACCTTGTTTGGCCGCTGGTCCACCCTCTTTTGGCCTAAATCGGGGCTCTATCGTCTGGGAACAGGGCATAGTGCGACGTGATTACCACGAAATACATGTCCGATCTGCTTACGTTTTCTCGCGCGGATGCTCCCTAAACCAAATGCCTTACCCTAAACCAAATAATGCCTCATCCCACAAGCCACCTCAATAGCCCCGTCACACTACAAACGATATCATACTCCCGCCGTGCGTAGTCGCCGAGCATGTATACGTACACTGTTCGCTAGTGTTGCTGTGAATGGGTAAGACTCTACTTTGATGGTCACGGGCCAGCCTCCGAGACCCTGCGTGAGGTTGGTCGTGGTAAGGCCCTGCACGTTTTAGTGCGGTACCACATATACCCTGTTTTGGCCAGATAGTAACAAGGTGTACCTTGTTTTGGCCACTCCCGAAAGAATTACCACGGTAAGGGTCTTGCCCCGAAGATACTAGGGTAAAAAAACGACAAAAAAATCTGAGAAAATCGGCACACGAGCGACTGAACGACCTCGAATACGATGATGACGACATAGAGTATCATCCCCGGGGTCATTTGATCCACATCATCGTGATGGAGGAGATTGCTGGCGTTATCGGTGACTGGCTACATCCCCTAAAGTCAAAAGAACAGCTCGGACAACTTACGTTCAACATTTTTTATCTGTTGGATTCTTTCAGAAGGCACAAACTGACACATGCCGCTCTATACTCGTGGAACTTGGGGTACGTGTACACCGACGCGTCGAAGAAACATCTGAAGCTGATGCCGATTGATTTTGGGAGGTCTAGCAAACGAAAGCTTACACGGAGTTGGAGGTTGGCTGCCTCTTGCGCTTCCTTGGCAAAATATTTCACGTGAAAGGAGAGGGGACGGATAAGCACGTCCCAGATTTCAACCGGCGGGTGGTGGCCAATCTTGTTCCATCTTGTTCGCACGCTTGCCGAGATGAAATACGGCATTTCGTTTCCTAGATCTTTCAGCGAGGCGGAGGACATTTTTTTGCAAACAGTTGGGAAAATACACGAAAAACATGGCTTCTGGTAGGTTTAGCTCTCATACTCTCGAGCGTGTCTAATTTCAGCAGTTTTTACGTGCGTCCCGCGGGACGTGCAGCAACATTTTCCCCGAGAGATCGGGACCCACATGGCGCGTTTGGGTTCCCGAGAGACATAATATCTAAAAACCCTCGGCGTCCTGGTGTGTGATGGAAGTATAATTGACTTAATCATTTTCGATCATCTCTCAACGCGAAATCCAGGCGACACAATAAAATTGCCACAATCGGGCCGCGTCGTCCCGGCTTGTCACAAAACATGGTTCAATGCAATCATGAAAAAATTCAATGACACCACGTGTCCAAGTCTAAAGCACATGCCAATCACCGACCGCAGTTAAAAAACAATTCACATATTCTGGCTGTCGCACACGCACTCTACTTTCTTGCAACCCTTGCAAAACCAATAGGACCACTCGCTTCTTCCCTCCTGCTTCTGCCTCCCAACAATATCCCTGACCATTTTCTCTTTCTTTCTTATGGGAAACAGTTCGTAGAATTGAAGCACATCGCTACGACTGGAATCGTCCTCCCCAACGTGCGCCACCATGTACTCTCTGACCTGATCCTTACACAATCCGCCAAACGTAGAAACATGGTACATGCAATTCTCCAATGTGCGTCGCGGATATGACTTACCCGGAACCAATTTCATCTCGACAACCTTCTCGTTGAAAAGCGCATTCATCCGCAGCAAGAGAGGCATAAGGTCGACCGAAAATGTACCCCTCTTCATCCGCTTTCTTGGGGGCTGACTGGCCTCGTCTATGCTCTCGACACCCTTACACGACGCATCTCCCTTGTCACAAGAGGGTTGGACAGAAGAGCGCTTGTCACTTACCACCGAACCCGACCCCGCGCTCGCACTAAGCCCATGCTTTCGTTCAATCTCTTGCCTCTCGACTTGCATTTTGACTATTTTGAACTTAAGTTCCTCTTTCCCAAGTTGCTTCTGAAGCTCTTTCGTCTCATCGTCTCCCCGAATGTTTTCAGTTGAGATTCCTCTGCTCTGCATCAAAATCTCTCGATTCTGTGCAAGTATCTCACGCATCAGCTTTTCTACAACACCGTCAGTCGGCTCGGGTTTGTTCCCGTCGAACAAAGAATCACCAATCCACGTGTTCAGAGCGTCGTGCTGCTGGTCACGTATCGCATCCTTGTCGCTCAAACATGAACGGTTGTTCAGCTCCTGCGCACTAATGATACCAGATATCTGCCTACTGAAGGAACTGGGATCATCATTCACGTTGTCACTTTTTGCCAAGTTGTACGCTTTTCTCATCTCGTACTCCCCGTGCCTAGCCAGCGCAAAGTGGTTCAACACCCTGTCATCCGATTGAGGGATTCCCAGCGTATAACAGACCGTCATAACGGTCGTGACATGAATCGTACGGAGGATATTCGGCCCGAACGCTGGTAAGCCCAAAGCATACTTCCCCACGTGGAGATACATGCTGCGCAGCTGACCGTCGTTGTAGTTTTTTCCGTACTTGGTGAACGGAGCTGCCTTGTCACCAAGCTCGGCAAACTGTAAAACCCTCGCTTGCCTACGACGGCGATTTCTCACCCTATCCTCCTGGTCAGCCTTCTCTGAATCTCTGGGTGCGTAATGTTGAACCTCTTTATCGGCTCTCTTGAGAGAGTCGCTCGCGGCAGCAAGGTCTCTACGCGCGTCGTCTTCGCTGAACTCATCTGAATCTATCGCCTTCGAGAGTCGGCCCTCTGCATCTCTCTGTTGCTCACGCGCCAGCTGTTGTTCGGCACACGCCGCTTTGTAGTTTTCTTGGAGGTGCATTGTCATCAACCGTCGCCCGATCACGAGCATCACCGCAAACGGACCTGTGAATTGAAATGGACAAATCGATTGAGTGGCACGCGCTACCACTAACAACACCATCGGTCGGAAAAAAGCAAGCGCAAATGAGACGACAATACTCGTGACAATACTTGCAAATACAATACCCAATTTTCTAGCACCATAAAAAAAAAAAGACCTACCTGTCGTCCGCTCATCCTTTGCGTGGTTCACCACCATCCCAATTACGCTCTTGACCAGGGTCCTGGAGTTTTTTCCGACCGGTGGGAGGACAAACACCAATCGGCCATTCTTCACGTACGCCTTGCACGCCAGACACCCTAGCGAATCTTGAGGCCGAAGGCAAGCTGACGTGAGCGAGTCGAGGATGTGGAGGGCGCAGCTGAACCGCTCCAGGTCTTCGGTGGAAACCCCCGCCTTCGCCAAAACGCCGACCACCTCGTCGATCTGTTCCTCGTACTTCTCGGGATACAGGTGCCTCTCGTCATCGCGCTTCCCGATGGTAGCCCCCCCGCCGTCGTGAAGCACGTCCAAGCACATCTCGATCACTTCCTTCCGCCGAACGGCGTCCCCGATTTTGGCCATGATGGGCTTGATGCCATTCTCGTCCACCAAGTCGGCCAAAAACTTGCACTTGTCTTTCCAGTCCTCGATACTGAAAGTTCGGCCTTTGTCCACCTTGCTCCCGTTTCCCAGCCGAGATAGGCTGTTCTCATGAGCGTTGGCCTCATTCCTCTTGTCGGACGCCACCGGGTCATACGCATCGAAGATGCTGTTGAGAACACGCAGGTCCTGATCCTTCGTCGAACTGATTTCCACCGCGCTCTTGTAAAACGGCCGGTGTCGTCGCGTCTGGGAGACCCTGGTCGTGTTTTCGGTCGTGGGTTGGATGTCACCCAGGTGCTCGGGACGGGTGAATTCGATCTGTCTGTAAAGCGGACAGTGTGCCCACCACTTGAAGCAATCCGAAACACCGTGACCAGTCGACACCCTGGCCCTGGCCAAAAGCAACCGTGTACCCAGTCCACACTTGGACGCGTCCTCGGGGCTGATGGTGCAGATCGTCTGCTTCGTCTCGTAGTTTGGCAAATCCACTTCCTCCGAAAGCTCATCGACCGCTCCCCCCGCCGAAAGCTTGTCGGTCGCTACCCCCGCCGAAAGAGGAGCGATGCACGACTCCACGCTGGTAGGACGCCCCAGCTTCCACGACGACTGGGCTCCGCGAACAAAGTGGTTGACAAATGTCATGTGGCGGTCGTGAAATCGGTACCCGTTTGTGACGAAGCCGGTGGTATTCGTCGCACGATACCGATCCAATCCCAGCGCCATGAAAAGCGACCCATCGCGACGCGCTTCCTCCAACAATCCTCCTCCCGATTTACCGAGAATTGATTCCTCATACTCGGTCATCGTGTCAGCCAGCGACACCGCCTGAATGCCCTTCCATGCGTCCATGCGGAGGCTCAGTGTCTTCTTGCAGACTTCCTTGGGAAGGGTTACCGCGTCACGCCTTCTCTTGATCTTGCGATCATCATCGATAACGTACTTCTGAACTTGAACGTTGACCATGCACAAAACACCGCGAAGAAACAAGAGAACTCGTGCGTCGTCATCCTTCGGAGAAGTAACGCCCTGGTTCCCCCCGTACCGCTCAGCCCCGCAAAGGACATCGCGCGTGCTGTAGACCGACGTTCCACCACAGCCCTTCCACTGGATCTCAAACCCGTTGTACCCAGTGTCCTCGTCCACAAAAAATCGCGTAACCTCCCCCGTCTTCTTTCTGTGGACGTCTCGCACCAAAGTTCCCTTCTGGCCTGGGCGACTCCTGACCCTCCCCCCCTGGCCCATAACCTTGATGCCGTACAGCCTGTAGTCGAATTTCTCAAGCTTTTCCACAACGTCACTGAAATCCCGGCCGGTCGGGTCACCCAAAGCCTTCTCGATGTGCAAGTATGTCAAAGATCTGGTGTCCTGTTTTGTGCGAGCCTTCTTGATTTCCGCCAACATCGTTCGGGCCGTTTTGAACTGGTCGCTCAGACGCTTCAACACGTTCGATACGGCGTCTTTTCCACGGCGCCATAGTAAGGAGGAATGCTTGTGGGTCGGATTGGGTTCACAGAGCTCACTTGTTTCGTGAGCCACGCCACTCCGCTTCCGCGGCTTCACCGCCTTCCGAACCTGCCCATCGGTATCCTCAGAGACCGAAGGCGACGACGGCTGGTTGCGGCCCGAAACAACGACATCCGTGGGATCCTCCTCCTCTTCCTCATCCACATCTGCCGCATCCCCCGCGTCACAGATGAATCCCTCCTCGACACCACCAAAGTCAGGAAGTGTTTCGGTATCCTCCTGGTTGGAAACCGGGGCCCGACCGGTCGCCACACACTCGCTACAGAACCACTGTTCACAGCAAAAACGTGTGCGCGCAAAGAGAAAGAGAGGGTTGTCAAAAGGGGGCGAATTCATCCGCGCACGTGTTACCCTACCTCTTGTGTCCTACAAACAAACCTATACCTTGATCTTCTAAATACTCACATCTCCATCGGGAACGCCCTGGAGAGGGGGGTCGCAGCACCCAACATGGCTGGCGCCCGAGCAATCGGCACCATCGCACAAAATGATGAGGTCTCCATCCGAGCGATGATCCACCTCTCCACATTTCCAACACGCCCGGTCGCTCTCCTCCGCCTGCCTCTCCCTCTCTGCTGCTTCCTCCTCCTCTCTCTGCTCCTGTTCCAGCTGTTCCTCGCCAAATATGCGCTCCGCCTCTTCCCGCTCCGCCTGGTGATCCTTCTTCCACTTTGCGAGGTACGCATCATCCCACCCTTCTAGTCCATTTTTTACGTTGGCCAGTATCTCTGCTTCTTTCCCCACCCAATGTGTATGATCTCTAGGCACAGAGCTTGCCGCTGACACACTCTTGTCTTTATCGGTGGTTGTCTTTTTTCGCTTCCCGCGACCAAGGGCAACCTGTAAATTATAGGTCAACAAAGTTTGAGAACCGCGAGTAACTCGTGAGCTTGTGTCCAGAGTCAGAGTGGACTTATGATACCACTGAGCTATGTGTTAGCTCCGATATCACTGGTCATTTCTTAGCCTCTAAACAGACAGACAACTAAACTAGATGAAATAATAACAAGAATTAAATAATACACACCTCGGGTGGATCCGCTCCTCCGCGGACGGACCATAGCCCGGGCCGACCAGAACTGGGCTCTGCGTGATAAGCGGAGACCTTCTTGAGATATCCCCTGTTGCCTCTCCTCCTCCCGTGGCGACGACGAGTTTTGCGACAAGGCACTCGGTGCCGGCCACCCATGAAGTACCGATCGGCCTCGAGGCGAGTGATGGGGGGTTTGTCGACACCGACTGCTTGCGCGCGGGCGTGATCGACGGGGAACAACAAGGAGGCGACGGCAGCCCAGATGGACGTGGCCACGAAGACGGCGAAAGCTATCGCAAAACCGTACGCAAGCGCGGCCGCTACGGCGGCAGCGAGGTACACCGCGCCAACCACGACCGACTTGTTGGCCCAACGACAGACAGGTGGCTCCGGCGGCGGATCGATCTCGGCGAGGACCTGGTGGAGGGCTGCCAAGTGCCTCCGAAAAATCTGTCGACGCACGCCACCGGGTGTCCCGGCGCGATAACGCCTGCCGCGGACGAGTCTGCACCGGAGGGACTCGTCCGGCACGCGAATCGTGAAGCTCGTGTAGCTGTCCGTCGTGCCCATCACGGAGGGAGGTCTGTCCACCCCCCTTACACCACCATCCGCCGCCGCCTCCATACCAACCTGTCAAGCCAATTTGCGCGTGACGAGGGAATACGCGCAAAAGTTGAAAGATGTTCTTGGAAGACATGTGGACGGAGAGACACGGAGAGCGATGTGCGTGTACAAGGCTATGTATTCAAGACTTGGTCGTACCATGCATGCCCGAACGACGACTCCGACGCAATTGGAGAATAGGCTACCCACTCCCCATTCACCACCATCCGCTGTCACCTCCACACCAACCTGTCAAATTAATGTGTGTGCGACGAAGAGATGAAACATGCGCAAGGGAAGGCGATGTGACGGAGAGAGAGAGAGAGAGAGAGAGAGAGAGAGAGAGAGAGAGAAAATGTGCGCATGTACAACGTTATACATTCAAGACTTGTTCCGTACCATGCATGTCCGAACGACGTCTCCGATGTAGCGGGAGAAGACCACGAAGATTCGAAGAAACGCCAGGATCGCACATGCGAACAGGAGCGCTGATAGCAAAGAAGAGGAAGTTTCTCCTGCCCCGCCCGCGGCATAGTCGATGACATCGTCGAGCGGGACGGCGACACATTCCTCTTCTACGCCAAGCGTGCTGGTTCGGGGCTCCCACTCCTCGACGGCGACATCTACGTCCTCGGTCACCTATTGAGTTGTTTGAAAAACAGAGAGAGAGACGATGTGAGTAACCATACCCGGGCGTGCTATCTTCCCTAAAACACGCAGACTTGTACACGAATACACAAAACTTTTCTTGCTTTCATTTCGAGGAGGAATGGCTCACCGGAAGCACTTCCTCGAGTGAGACGAGAGCCTCGAAGTGCGCGTGTCCGTCGTGAAAAATGAGGTGCTTCGCCTCCGCAATCGGGGTCGACGACCCATCCACCGGCTCCAGGAGTCCATCACTGTTCAACTGAACGATCACAAGACCATCCAGGTCCAGGGCCTCGCCCCCGCCCATCACTGCCCTGCCGTCGAAGTAGCCGTGCGAACAACGCATGATTGCGTCCCACATCGGCTTCGTAAGAATCAGGGCCGACGCGTCGTGCACCAGGTCGTCGAACGAAAGAGGCTCATCGTTGATGTCGGAGCTGTGCTCATCGAAGATGTCGCGGCCATGCGAGTTGCTGACTGTGGCGTCGCGAATGCACTGCAGGGCATCCCTGACATCACCCGCGAGCTCGCCATTGGTGGCTTCAATGATGGCAGGAATCGGCACTCCGTCACGCACCATCGATCGTTGGAGCAAGGAGATGGGGCCGCAGCTGTTACGGGAGCCACTGTTGGACATGGCCACAAATATCTTGCCATCCAGAGTGTAATAGACACGTTGCACTCTCTTCGCCGCCGCCGCCGCTGCTGCTGCCGCTGTTGCTGCTGCTGCTGCTGCCCCCGCCGGTGTCTGCGCCCGCGCTCGTGTACGGGAACGCCTCTTCGCCCTCGCCCTCTCTCTCCTCTGCCTGTCCTTCGTCTTCGCTGCCATGCTTCACCTGACACATGGACGTAACAAGAGAGGAGGGGTTCAGCTCACGACGACAGATCTGCAACAGATCAATCTTGCCTTGGAACCATCCAATCTACAGGCATAGGAGAAAGAGAAAGCGATCAAGTGTCGTGGTGTATCGCGCGCCAAATAAAGATTCTGGAGGGGGTCCCGTGGGTGCAAGATTCGGACCGGGGTCCCGTGGATGGAAATTTCACAGTGGGGCGGTAAGTGGAGTACGAGTGTGGGTGGGGGTGNAAGATGACTCGAGCTTCGCGGCCTCGGCCTCGGACGAGTTCCGGCGTCATCGTCCTCGTCCTCTCAAGAGAAACAACACTCGTGTTGTGCAAGGGGTAGATGCATGCTTACAGGTAGAAACGTCCTTGTGCTCAGTACAACACAAATATTTACTAGTTAGCGGTTCGAACGCTGATATCGGGAAATCGAGATCCCGAAACCAGTCTCAGGATGACATCTTGCTCGATCCGATTTTGGAAGATTCAAGATGACTCGCGCTTCGCGGCCTCGGCCTCGGACGAGTTCCGGCGTCATCGTCCCATTTGAAACGCGTTCAGCCGAAAACGGAAACAATTTGCTCTCTGTTTTTTGAGGATAAAACTAGGCCGATGTGAGACGCATTGTTCGTCAGTTATCGAAAGGAGTCGCCATGGGCAAGGAAAAAGCGGATGTTTCATCATGTCGCGCGAGCATTACTTCAAAACTGCACGAGCTGGAGGAAATCATCCTGGATGTGGGGGATGTTTCAGCCCTGAAAAACATTGATTTCAATCTCGGAAAAGTGTATGACGGCACCAAAGACGGCTCCAAGAAAAACGACAACGACAAATTTGTCGGTGGCGAGGCGAAGAAACAAGTTGCTGTTGACGAGCTACCGCGATCGCGCAAGCCTTGGTCTGGTAGCCATGGTTTATCCGTAGGTTCGAGCTGTTGACGAGCTACCGCGATCGCGCAAGCCTTGGTCTGGTAGCCATGGTTTATCCGTAGGTTCGCCTGGTGTTCCTGTGTCCGGAGACGCGAGGGTTGGCGAGATTGAAATTGTTGAGGATGAATATACTATACCCGACGACATGTTTGACGAATATAAGTACAAGCCTTCCGGTGACGTGTGATGGCGGGGTTAATCGTGTGAAGATTGTCCTTAACATTTTCTCAGGAGATTGTTCGAAAAAAGAATGCAGAACATGGCCATCAGTACGGACGGCTGCGAAAGTTGACGCCTCTACAATCGTCCGAGATACATCTCACAGGCAGCATTGCACCGAGGACGGAAAAGCGAAGCGCCCTGGGAAGCAGACACAGTTCCGGTAGTCCCAACCACCCATTGTCTCATCGATCTTTGAAATTGTGCCAAGACTAAAGAGATTCAGGTGTGCTGACATTGCACTGAGATGATGTCCGATCGTCCTCGTGAAAATACCCAACAGTGATTCTGATGCGCGTGCGGTCTAAGTGGCGAAGGCATTGAGGTTTGCAAGGGAATAGATGATCTACTCGAGCGGTGTCGTCAAATGTCATCCTCGCCGGCGCGTTGTCGACCGAAAGCTTTCCGTGATCTGTGAATAAATTCATATTTCGGCAGCGGAGTTGCCCGTCGTTGGTGTCCTTACTTCTCCGAGCTTGGCAGAGACATCTGTGCAAATTGCAGTGCAAGTCCAAAAACATGTTTTGTCGAAATACCCTGCTTACCATCTGCCTCACCTAGAGATAAGTGAGGATAATAGGCCAATTCACAGCAATAATGGCCGATTGGCTGTTTTGGATTAGGCAGCGCATATGTTTAAAGCAGGCTGTTTTGAGGGGTTCAAGGAACAACCAAGGATGTACCGCCGCCATCACCCTTTGGGTAATTGTGGCCATCATTTTTGATATTAATGTTTGAAATGTACAAACATGAATCCGACACCATCTCACACGTCCTCTCATACTGCGACAACGCGTATCTGTACGTTGCCACCGTCAACGAAACGTGGCGGCGCGCGTACGAACCTAACGCCACGACGTCAGTGCGCCAGGCCGTTGCCAGCGAATCGAGAGTTGGTAGCGTCCTGCCAACGCTGAAAATTAATCGGTCCCTCAACAACACCGCGTTCTTCCACGAATCCAAAGCCGGCAACGTGCGCGTCCTCGACCGACTGCTCGCAAATGAACGACCGCTGGCACTCTACGCGTGTACATCGGGGGCCGTCGCAGGCGGAAACTTGCGTCGTGCGCGCTGTCCGGCGATTTGAGAAATCTAGATTTTTTGGCAAGTTCGCGATACGTCCGAGAAGGCCGCCGCGCCCCCTCGCCCAAAACAATCTTCCTGCCTCAACATGTACTACGCACACACTCACACGCATGCCCAAATTCTACAATTTGGTCGGAGATGAACTGAACGTCGTACGCAGACATGGGGCTCGAACAACCCCCTCTCGCACCATCTACCGACTCAGGGTAGAACTTACCGCACGACAACCTCTTTGGAGGGATCGCACACCGGTTTGGGGATGGGCGTATTGGCGAACACTTCTCCGAAGAAACCAGAGGCCAGAAAGGCAATATGCCAAAGAGACGAACTGTTCAAACACGAACAACGTTCTAGTTGTAAGAACAAACGAATAAGGTTCATGACACAACCGTCCCTTCCCCACCGCGTCGCAACAGACGGAGGGCACACGTACGTACGGAACTTCGATGCTCAGCCAGCCGTTCTTCCCCCATGTCCCCACCACACGAATAAAAACAATCCAGCTCCAGTTGTACGCACTAGCTGGTTTCAAGCGAAACACATCAAACCTTCCCGAGCGCAACCGCAACAACCTCAAGTCGACGATACCTTGCTCTCCGCCTCACCCGTCACGATGTTGTACACATTGTAGGTGTTCAGGAAGCTCGCTACACTGCTCCTCCCACCCATAAACGCCACAAAGAGCCTGGAGTTTCGAACGTTGTAACCGGTTCCGCGGTGCACGAGGCCGGGGCCCATCACTAAAGCTTCACCTCTCTTCAGATGCACTTCAAGGAACTCCCCTGCCTTAATCTTCCTCTCCACCTCCTCGTCCTTCCCCCCATACGATTTTGGGATTATGTGCACGATCGATCCCTCTACGCACCCAACGAGGACGCTGATGCCAAAGTCCGTCTTGAAAAAGCCAGCGAGATAATGCGCAAAGTCTTCATGGAAAGCCTGATGGCGCTTCGTAGCGTCGCCCGCCTTAGCTGGAGACAAAATGTAAGTGACTACTTTGGCCGCTCGCAACCCCCCACCGACCATGTTGAGTAAACCGTGCTTCACGAGCGCTAGAGCTACCGGGACAGCAATGAGGAAGTACATCACCCAGTCCAAAGCGCAATTAAACATCTGCCGACTCAAGTCGTGATACACTACGTCGTTCACGACTTTCGTGAACATCGCTTCATTTTTGAAACCACGCCTTTTCATGTACTTCTCTATCAGATCTAGGATGTAAACGGGAACCGCACCCTTGACCACGGTGTAGTTCTCGTCCGCAAACTGCATGGACTGCGGTGTTTCGATCCCGAGGTCATTCGTAACGTAGTCCGCTTGCTCCTTGCAGTACGTCTTGTATGATTGAGTCGAGCGAACCTTGTCCTCCGCGAGCTCCGCACGAATCTCGTCCTCCTTCGCAAGAGTCGGACGAAAGCGTGCGCGTACGGGGACATCGCAAGGTGTGTGTGTGTGTGTGTGTGTGTGTGCGTGTGTGCGAGCATGGCCGGTGAAGGGTTAAATTTGATTTCCAGAAGATGGGTACGTGCAGAAATTGAAATGAAAGGCTTTCCGGTAGAGATTGCCGTGGTCGGCTGAAAAGCATGAAGTTTTGAAGTGGGAGAAGAGAGAGACGGTCGGCTTGTCATCTCTTGAGAGGCTAGCTGTGTAAAATGTTGTAAAATGGGAGAAGAGAGAGACGATCGGCTTATCATCGCTTGAGAGACTAGCTGTGCCAAAGACTAAGAAACGGGAGAAAAGAGAGAGACGGTCGGCTTGTCAGCTCTCGAGAGACTAGCTGTGCACAAGGTTATGGAATGGGAGAAGAGAGAGACGGTCGGCTTGTCATCTCTTGAGAGGCTAGCTGTGCAAACAGGTTATGAAAAGGGAGAAGAAAGAGACGGTCGGCTTGTCATCTCTCCAGAGACTAGCTGTGCAAATGATTTTTTTGAAATGGGAGAAGAGAGAGACGGTCGGCTTGTCATCTCTCGAGAGACTAGCTGTGCAAAAGGGTATGGAATGGGAGAAGAGAGAGAGACGGTCGGCTTGTCATCTCTCGAGAGACTAGCTGTGCAAAAGGATGTGGAATGGAAGAAGAGAGAGAGGGTCGGCTTGTCATCTCTCGAGAGACTAGCTGTGCAAAAGGTTATGGAATGGGAGAAGAGAGAGACGGTCGGCTTGTCATCTCTTATGAGACTAGCTGTGCAAAAGGTTATGGAATGGGAGAAGAGAGAGACGGTCGGCTTGTCATCTCTTATGAGACTAGCTGTGCAAAAGGTTATGGAATGGGAGAAGAGAGAGACGGTCGGCTTGTCATCTCTCGAGAGATCAGCTGTGCAAAAGGTTATGGAATGGAAGAAGAGAGAGAGACGGTCGGCTTCTCATCTCTCGAGAGATCAGCTGTGCAAAAGATTTTTTTGAAATAAGAGAAGAGAGAGACGGTCGGCTTGTCATCTCTCGAGAGACTATCTGTGCGAAAAGAGAGAAGAGAGAGACGGTCGGCTTGTCACCTCTTGAGAGACTAGCTGTGCAAACAGGTTACGAAATGGGAGAAGAGAGAGACGGTCGGCTTGTCATCTCTCCAGAGACTGACTGTGCAAAAGGTTAAGAAATGGAAGAAGAGAGAGACGGTCGGCTTGTCATCTCTCGAGAGACTAGCTGTGCAAAAGGGTATGGAATGGGAGAAGAGAGAGAGACGGTCGGCTTGTCATCTCTCGAGAGACTAGCTGTGCAAAAGGTTAAGAAATGGGAGAAGAGAGAGACAGTCGGCTTGTCATCTCTGGAGAGACTTCTGTATGTAAAAGCCTGTCCGGACAAATGATTCTAGCCAGCCTGCAAATATGCAGTGCTGCAAAACACGCTTGAAGCGCAAACTCATACCTTCTCTTCCGTGATGGCCTCGTGTTTTCCCTGGCACGGAATAACCGGGGGGGTGAATTCCTGCCCGTCACTCTTTGAACCGACGACGACCAGAAGAGCCACAACGACGGCCAAGCCGAAAGACGCCAGAAGCACCGCGTCGTCGGTGTCGTTAAGGTCGGGAGCGTCGCTGGTGCCGCCGCCGGTGCCGGTGTGGTCGCAGACAGCCGAATCCATCTTGGCGACGCACTGGTCGACCATCTTCAGCTTATCGGGGGGCACCTTCCGGCTGTTCCTAAATGGGCAGTCAGTCACGGCTGCCATGCGCGCAGCCTGCGTCAGGTTTGCCTCCATCTTCTGGAAGGACTCTTTCGACACGCGGTCGATCCCGTTCTTGAAACACGAGCGGAACCCAAAAAACGTGGCGCACACGTCCGTCCACACTCTCTGAAAATAAACCAAGGAAAATTACGAACACCGGGATGGAAACGTGACAAAGTGAGGGTACGACAAGGAGGAGACAAACCACGGGAATGTCTGGCAACGAGTGCTAAATAATGTGTCTACGCCAAGCGCTAATTTTGGAACTTTGGGTGAACTCTTATGGACGCGAAAACAACACCATGACGTACCGTCCTTGTCGGCCTCAGGACGCGTCCAAGATCTTCACCGGAGTCATGGCCATCACCACTGTCACTGATTCCACCCGCATCGCCATCGCCTCCGCCACAACCATCCTCGTTCTTGTCGAGGGCCTCGTCACCGGCATCATCGATATCCCCAACACTGTCTTCGGCCAACGTCGTGCCCTGAGGGTACAAGACAAGTGTTTGGAGTCAAACGACCACAACAGCACACAACCGAGTAAGTGGTGAGGGGGAAGGGTTGGTCGGATGGTGATACTGTTGTTGTGATTTCTCACGTTAGCGCTTGTCCAAAATCTAGAGCCCGTGGTCACAAAACAGGGCACACGCGAAAAGCGCCGCATCAAAAACAAAAACACACACGCGCAGATGACCGGCACGGGGCATCAAGGGGGCCATGGTCCTACGCACAAAACAAAAACAGAAGGTACATTCAACTCGGAGGGAAAAAACAGGTAGAAAACCAGCTGCATTACCAGGCATGCACGGGGGGGAACGGGAGATACTGTACAATCTGACAAACGCACAAAAAAAAATTACCCTGTACCGGACTCGATCCACTCGTGTGTAGCTCCGGGCGTAGCTACCATACTTTTCCACCCACTCGTCGAAGACCTGTTGGTCACCGGGGTCGCTGAAGAACTTGTTCAAAAGATCGTAATCGTTGGTGGCTCTGATCTGGGCAAGCATCTTGGCGTAAATGTCGTGGCTGTTAAAGCGGTCGAGGTCTTTGGGGTTTTCGGTGCGGTAGTCTGCGAGAAAGCATGCCACCGATTCGAAGGTCGGCTTCATGGTCAAGGGGTTTGGAGATGCGGTAAGGGTATCGAAGGACTCTTTTCGGAAGCCGGCCTTTTGGCCCTCGTACAGGCCGGTGTACACGTTCGCCGCATTCTCGACAAGCCTGTCGACGATTTGCCCATCGGTCTTCGCATGAAAATCGAGTGCCTTGTTTGGCTGAACAACGGAGACGAACAACAAGTCGCACGCGACGTGGAAAGGAAGGGTGGTGGGTCATGTACAGTACGAAAGTGGGGCCGAAAATCGAGTGCCTTGTTTGGCTGAACAACGGAGACGAACAACATGTCGCGCGCGATGTGGAAAGAAAGGTTGGTGGGTCATGCGCAGTACGAAAGTGGGGCCGGACTGGGAGACTGACGACCGCTTCAAGGCCAGATTTCGGCTTAAAAGCCTTAAATTGACGATGATATTACCTCTGGATGACCGCGGTCTTGAAGACGTTTCTGCAGGCCGTCAAGGTCGGCAGCGGCCGACTTCCTCTTCTTTCTACGTTTTTGCTTCTCCGTCCTTGAGATTTCGACACAGCTCTCGTCCCCACTCTCCTCTCTAGTGTCGAACTTGGGAAACTGGACACGGTGAGCAAAGAAACGGGCGTGAAAGTTCGTTTGGATCGAAAAAGCAAAACTGTCGAGCGGGTGGTGATTGGTTGTGATCTCTCTACATGCATTCTGAAAACAAGCACGTACGTTAACGCCACTGATGGTGATCAACAACTTTGAGCATCGGCTTACTGGTCCGCCTTTTCCTTTCCTTGCGAACTTGGCTTGCAGGGGTGAAGGTTGATGGGTCTCCACGGGCTCCATCCCGGCACCGGTGTACCAAAGACTGCTGCAAAAAATAGGCATGTCATGTAGCAACCGCGCGATATTTGAAAACTTACGTCATACACTCTTCGCGACAATGTTCGCTCCGGAAAGAACACGGGCACGATGCCACCCCGGCTTTGCCAGCAACCCATCTCTGTTTATGTACGGCAAAAAATGAAGTGCTCGATGGGATGAAAGCACGGAAACCTCACGCCTGCCGATCAATGTGAGAAGGGGGCGATGACTTAGAATGCGTGCACGCCGTTAGGTCAAAAACGCGCTTTTGTGTCTCTTACACAGACGCACCAACCACCGCGTGTGAAGGAGAGAGATCAAGAGACGCGAAAAGCGCGCCCTCTGCTGCGCACATTGCTACATCCCTACACTTCGATTGTCTGGATCAGTCTAGTGTATGCGGTACTGCCGCGAACAGAATGCGATGAGGGAAACCTCGCCTACAGTTGTACACACGCTCTCCACCGATCAGCACAACCCAAATCCAGGTGCATCCAAGCGCGATCCAGCCGCGCCGAAAAAGGGCAAGGCCGCCAGTCGCGCGCGACGAGCTCCTTCAAAACCTGGGGTGGTGTGCGCGGGTGAGAAGTCACGAGGAGGAACACGCGTGTACGGATGCAAGGAGGCACGAAATACCCGAACCTTTTCAGCGCTACCGGATCAACCCGGATCCAAGCGCACAATACAGTAGCGCCGGAAAAGGGTACGGGCAGAAGATCACCGGGAGTAGCGCGCGGGTATTGAGGGAGGAAAATGGGAGGGTCGCCAGTCGTGCGCCAAACACGGTAGGCTGTACAGCCGCACACCGTACACAACCAAAAAGAGGGAGCCTCACACACTGCTGCACGCCCTCTCGCTCCGCCGATTCACGGCAGAGAAATCCACCTAAATCCGGGCGCCCGATCCAGCCTCGCCGAAAAAGGGCAGGTGTGAGTACCGCCGGCAGTTGTGCGCGGCGAGCTCCTTCAAAATCTAGGGTGGTGTGCGCGGGTGGGAAGTCACGAGGAGGAACACGCGTGTACGGATGCAAGAAGGCATGAAATACCCCAACCTTTTCAGCGCTACTACCGCCGACCAGCAGCAGACGGATCAATGTGGATCCAAGCGCACCATACAGTAGCGCCGGAAAAGCGCACGGGTGAAGATCATCGGGTGAAGATCATCGGGTGTAGCCGTGCGGGCATCGGTTGCCTCGCGCGCGCCAAACACGGTAGGAGGTACAGCCGAACACCGTACACAACCAAAAAGAGAGAAACCTCACCCGCTGATGCTACACAGCCCTCTCCGCCGACCAGCAGCAGAGAGATCCACCTGGATCCAAGCGCTCGATCCAGCCTCGCCGAAAAAGGGCAGCGGTGACGAGCGCCGGCAGTTGTGCTCGGCGGGCTTCTTCCGAACCTGTGGTGTGTGTGCAGGCGGGAAATCGTGAGGGTGTGCTGATCTGCATTGCTTGAGAGGGTGCAATGAAGCCAAGTACCCCGACCAGTAGCAGACGGATCATCGTGGATCCAAGCGCACAACACAGTTGCGCCGGAAAAGGGGCACGGGTGAAGATCACCGGGCGTAGCGCGCGGGCATCAAGGGAGGGAAAGTTGAAGGTTGCCTCGCACGCGCCAAACACGGTAGGCGGTACTGCCGCACACCACATACAACCAAAAAAAGGGAACCTCACCCACTGCTGCTGCACACCCCTCTCTCCGCCACACCAGCAGCAGAGGGAGTCGGCCGGAAAAAATAGGCAGTGGCGCGCTTCTTTAGAACCTGTGGTGGAGAGCGCGGGAAAAGGGTAGGAAAAGGACGGCAAATCAGAATCACTTACAAACCACCAAAGAAACCTCTGTCTGTTACTCCGGGAGCCTGACAGCGCCGAAAAACAAAGAACCACAGTTTGTAAAACCCTGTGGGCTGGAGTCTACATAAGCGCGGCTGATCTTGTATATTCTATGCTCTCCAACGACACACGGTCCACTAGAAAAGAAGGGGTCTCACCATTTCCCCTCCAACCAGAGATTACAGACGCTCTCCGGGGCGCGTGTCTGCTGAGGGACCTAAGCCACGAGGAAGACGGGAACGAGAGAGCGACCGAGTAATTGCGCAGAAAAAATAGCCCAGAAGCCGCAGACATGAGCAACATCAAGCGGCCAAGAGCACGCGAAGAGCACACATTCTCCCATGCCTCTACTACTATACATGTGCCTTCTCTCTCTACGCTGTTCTCTCTCTTTGTCTCTCTACTCCTCTGGGTCAGGGGTAGTCGGTCGCACAGGAGGGTCAGCAGGTACAGCAATTCACCACTCGGGTTGGATGGTGGTCAGGAAAATGGTCGAGTACTCGGAACGCACGTGCTTTGACAGAGAGATCAGGCCCAATATATATATTTTCAACGAGTAGAGTATAGGCGCGGATCGTGCCACAAACGTGCCGCGGTAAAACATTAAACCACACAACCCAAACCTCACCTGCTATGCTTCCCACCAACACCAGATCTTCTTGTCCCCGCGCCAAGAAAGAACGAGATGCCCGCCCTATCAGCAGAGATGCAGGCGCAATCCAGCCGAGCTTGAAAAGGGCACGGGTAGTCGCACGTGGCGTGCTTCCAAAGCACTGTGGTGTCAGGGGCAGGGGTGCGAGAGAGATACATACCGACAAAGAGGGAGAGCGGGAGAAATCAGAAAAGAGAGAAAATAATCAGGGGGGGAGAAGAAACGAGCGAGCGGAGGCACGCGACCGTTGGAGCATCTCATAATAGCTTGCTTCAAGATCACCCTACTCTCGAACACGACCACGCCACCATGGATCACCACTGCTGACCACGAAGGGTTGGGTCCTGTCAACACAAGAAGAGCTGCAGCAGTACAAGTTCGTACTTCGCATGCCGCTTCGGGTGGTGCAGTTCTCAAGAAATATGAAGTGCCGTTGAACAGAGAGGAGTCACGGGATATGTGACGAGTAACGATACCATTGAAGCAGGCCAACATATTGCGATACATCGGATACAGCGGCGATACAATACAGGTGCGTATCGTGCCACATGTGCCGCGCTGAAATATGATAGCACACCTCTGTGACCAACGGGAACTTCACTTGCTCTGCTTTCACCACATAAGATCTGCCCCCCCCCGCCGAAAACACACAAGTAACTCCGCCGATCAGCAGTAGATTCAAGCGCGCGATCTAGCCGCGCTGAAAAAGGGACAGTCGCGCTGGCGTACTTTTTGTGAATGAGAGCGCGAACAAGGGCGGGAGAATGGGAGCGTTACAAGAGAGGGAGAGCGGAATCTCCGGGGATGAATAGTGGAATGGGAAACCGCGGCTACAACATGACCCAACCACACGTATCCGATTACTCGTGGTACATGCAGCCTTAGTCAGGCATTGCTTCAAAATCTGGTTCCTTTTTTGTTACTGCTCCATACTCCTAATGAAAAAGCAGACACACAACAAGTACTCACAATAGAGAGAAAAGGCGCGTCACCGAAAGCGCCACAGCAGTTCGAAAACACGCATTTCGGATGCCTGCCTACACGGGAGTGTTGTGATACAATCAACAGGCACGGAAATACCTTCCTGCACGGGAGTACTGTGACACGATAAACAGGCACGGAGAGATCCGCATAGGTGTGCCTTTGCATGGAGAGGGTTCTCGAGAAAAGTGTAGGGTTACCTCTCGTTGCACCAGGTCTCGAGACATCTGTACATCAACACAACTTCAACGAAGCTTGCGTCCTACATGTACCTATATCCTGTTCTACAACCCCCAGCGACATACATCAGCAGCACAGGGCAGCAGCAGCATCAAGATGGAGCGGGAAAAGAGACACACAAGCTTCCTACGTTTCCTTTTTCTTCTCTTCTGCGCTGTGTGTCTTGCCTACCACCATGGATTTGACGCTGAAGTCAAAGTGCCGGAAACCAACACCAAGAAGCACAACGTCGATCTGTTGCGTATGTTTGGGGCCAAGTCGATCAGGGTTAGGCGTAAGGAGGGCGAACAGGGCGTTGTTGAGTACAACTTCGAGGTACCGACAGAGCCTGGTTCTTCATTCCCTGCAGGGAACAGGGATGTGGCGGTGTACGCAGAGCGGAGGTAGCAACGGCCACTCGGGAGTACATCCACCTCAATCACCCTGAAAGGCTCGAGGAACGGGTGGTGACGTTCATGAGGAAAAAGGGGTGGGCGTTGA